TCCTGTCTTCTTTTTATAGGATGGATGGACTCCTCTCATAGTAGCAGCTGCTAATGGTCATACACAGGTAGTGACAATGCTCCTTGAAAAAGGAGCAGATGTCACTGCCTCTGATAATGTAAGTATAATCATTAATTATACTCCAATAGTGATTGTACATGTATATCCTTTTGAGTGGGTGGATCAAAGTAACCGCAGGTGCTGTATATCTCATACAGTGTGTGTACATGTACATGTATAGCTTAATGTACTCTACTGTATCACTTTATGAAAAGCATTTTTATTAAAATAATTATTTTACATCAATAATATTTTATTTTAGTAAAGCGAAAAAATTTGAGGGCTGAAATTTTTTAAAATGTAATATTAAAAATTTAGTAAGAAATATTTTTAAAATTGAAATTTTAGAATATATTTTTGGGTGCTGATTCTCATAAATTTTGAGTACAGAAAAATTTCGAATTTTTGATGGTAATGATTTTTTCATTTTTAATTTTTGAAATTTTGAAAACTAAAAAATAGAAATTCTCAATAATTTTGAATAAAGTATCAAAAGAAATTTTTGTAAATTGTTAAAAATTCATATGAAACTTTTGCTTTGTGTAGCGTTTTTCAAAATTTAACGTTTGATAACAATAACATTTCTATATGGTAATACTTTATAATGTTACATGTATAATAGTATAATAATGTCAGATAGACTTACAAGAGGCCAGTGGGCATTGACATTTTCTTTGGTATGGAGGACATACTTAGAATGTAGTTATACTGTGCATGAATATATAATGTGATCCACCCACTCAGATTGATGTAATTATATCACTTACGTACTGGGGCAGTATTTGATTTACAGACACCTCCCACTAGGACACTATGGTCCCTTGTGGTCAGTGTCTGTATTGACATCAACTTAAATTAATATTACGTGCATTGATGAAGCATCAAAATTTAAGCACCTTGAAATTTTTATCCCAATCATGAAGGTTTCTCAATCTACATGTATAGTAACTGAGTTTATGACTATAACCAAGAACATTTTATTGATACTGCAACAGTGTAAATATACATGTACATGTACATGTAGACTAGTAGTATTGTACATGTAATTATTTATATCAGTAAAATGTATACTTGTACACTAAATGTACCTCCACTGTCTATAACATACTCAATACTATGGAGTATTGAAGACAGACCAACAATTAAAGTTGGTTTTTAGTTTGATTGTGATAACATTGTACTATCATGTTAATCAATGTTTACCTTGTATAGGCTGGTAAGACTGCTCTTGATTATGCTTATGGTGACACTGCCACTATACTGAGAGTACACTCAGGTAATGTATTTATTAGTTTATTAAACTGATGTTATTATACTGTATGTAGTACTGTATTGTTAGTAAATTTTATGACACAGCTTGAGTCATCAGCTACTTACCAAATTAATAAAATTAAATTAAATGATAAAAATGTGTCACATGATTATCAGTTGTCCATTCCTTCCCTATTGATGTATGATGTAAGATGTAGAGGGTGTGGCATGATGGTCAGTACTTGCTCCTTCAAAGTAATTGTATGTGATGTCACATGTTAGTATCATTGTTTACCCAATGACTGTAAAACATTAGTAGTGTCATTTTGGTGTCTTATGATGCTTGATTCCTCTCCTTG